GATCAAGGATTGAACTCATGTCTCCTGCACTGGCAGACAGATTCTTTACCACTGAGCCATCTGGGAAGCCCAATCAATCTGGTCTTTTTCAAAAAAAGGGTTAAGATTACCTAATGTGTCTGGTCCTATGACAGACACTAGAGGCACTGCAAACATATCAATTTCAAGAAGTTCATCATGTAGTAGGATAATATATTTATAAAGAGATACCTATGATCTAATGGGCAGCAGATAAACACAACTAGAGTTTGTAAGATTGTCTCTGGCTGAGAATTCATTCATTCAACAAATACATGAAATCCTACACATGCTGAGTGCTGGTCTAGAAACGGGTGCATATGTGCTCAGTTGCTCAGCTGTCTGACTCTTTGCAACCCTATAGACTGTAGCCCGCCATGCTCCTCTGTCCATAGGATTTTTCAGGCAAGAATACTGGAGTGGGTTGCCATTTCCTCCTCCAGGATATCTTTCCAACCCAGGGATTGAACCTGCATCTCCTTCATTGCAGGTGGGTTCTTTATTTACTGGGCCATTGTGGAAGTCCTGATCTAGCAACCTGGAGGTGAGCAAAATAAAACAAATGTAGAGCTCGGATGCTTCCCTTTACTCAGCTACTCAACATTATTGAGTAGCTTACCCTATTGAAGGCAGACAGTGAGGACAGAGGGGAAAATTAAGATAAATCATGCTGGTCTCATGGAGAATGTCATATTTGAGTAATCTTGAAGGTCAAGTAGAGCTGAGGAAAGTGGAGAGGACATACTAGAGCTGAATGAAGTGTCACCAAGGGGAAGAACAAGAACTAGGTAGAGATTCTGGAAAAGAAATAGTGTAATATGGAGATATGACCAAATTATATCAAGTATCAAAATAAATGTATTCTGCTTGATTTGTTTGCTCCTGGTGATGAAGCAGGAGAGAAAAGTGATTTTGTAAAATGTATGGAATGGACTGATGTCCATTGGAAAATACCAAAATGGCAAAAGACTAGTTTGAAGACTGCTGGAATAGCCCTGGGCAATATATAATAAGGGCCAATAAAATAAAATGGACTTTATAGGATAGAAAATACTATATTTGAAAGATAATTACAAATTTATATAATAAGTAAGAATTGTCTCACAATTTAAACAATTAATTGTCATTGCATGTGCTATCTCCTCAGACACAGAAAGAAAAATAGGGAGACATTTCTTTCATTGTTCTCTAGCATTTTGTTTAAATTTATTAATTTTACAGGAGAACTAAAATATAACTGGCTTCCCTGGTGGCTCAGATGGTACAGAATCTGCCTACAATGTGGGTGACTGGGGTTTGTTTCTGGCAGGTGGGGTAGTGATACAGGAAAGAAGGTTCATGATGGCACCACCCTGAGCAGTGCTACTTCAGGCTCCCCACCTCTGCTTCAATCAGAAAAATCACAAGATTTAGTTGCACTTATGTCTCATTATCTGTGTGCTGCAGGTTGAGAATAATTGCTGAATAAATTAGCATCAGATCAGAGAGCATGAAATTAAGGACACAAATAAAGTGAGTTGCAACATGGTAAATTAAAAACAAGTTGAAGACTTCCTAGGTTGAACACCAAGAGCTACATTTATTAAGGGGAAAAAGTTTCAACTCATATAGAACAAATAAGACAAAGAAATATTTTAAATATTTACATTTTGCTTTACACATATGTGTAGCTTCATGGCAGCAACATCAAAGAGAATATTTGATTAGAAGATTGGAAATGTTAAGTCTATATTTTCAACCACAGTCCTGGTTTTTTAAACTAGACTTTACAGAATTTAAAGATGATCATTTGTTGATGATGACATTTGTTTCCAAAAACAAAGGTCTCAAATGCATATAAAATAGTATAGGACAAATTCAGTTGTCTTACTTGGAGAAGTTTAGTTGTCTTTTATTGTCTCAGCCAGAACCCTTCACATAAAACAAGTTCTGTAATAAATTAAGGGTCTATAAAAGTAGGTGAATATTAGCTATAGTAATTTTTGGATCTTGTCGAGTATTATCTGGGGGTTTCCCTGATGGCTCAGATGGTAAAGAATCTGCCTGCAGTGCAAGAGACCTGGATTCAATCCCTGGGTTGGAAAGATCCCCTGGGAAGGGAATAGCAACCCACTCCAGTATTCTTGCCTGGAGAATTCCATGGACAGAGGAGTCTGGTGGACTACAGTTCACGGGATTGCAAAGAGTCGGACACAACTGAGCCATTAACATTATTATTATATGATGAATTTACTTAAATAGATTAAAATAAATACTTATTCACTAATACAATTATCTTTAATTTTATTCACACACAAACATATCTTAATTTCATCTGCATACAATTTTTATAAGGTAGGTATGATTTTGTGTGTGTGTGTGACATTGAGGTTCAAAGTTTTAACTTAAGTGGCATGGATTGGTTCAGATTTAAGTGTGGTGGGTTTACATAAATATTTAGGATGTTTCTGCTTCTTCAAGGAAGCAAATATTTTTAGCCAGGGAGCTAAAAATATATATATGCAAGAGAGAAAAAAATAAGTGAAAGATCTGAATAAGAGGTTTGGACAAAGTAAGGAACACTGCAGAAATTTACAAAAATCCTTACATTAGCACAGTGTTCAAAAGAAGGAGATTATTTCAGGGTTAAGTGATGAGGAATTATTTTGTGGAGGTGGTGATGGAATTTTAATAAGGTTTTGAAGGCACTGCAAAGGTAGTTAGGTTTCAGAGAAAGAGGCAATGTAGGCAGGGTAACATATCAATTAAAATGGATTAGGAATGACATGGATATGGAGAATTTCAGAGCACAGGAAGAGAGATAAATGGAAAAGTAATAACCATGTATTTATTAATTACCTGCTCTGTGTCATGCCCATTTAAACGTTACTTGTATTAATTCAAGTCACCTTTGCAACATCACTATGAGGCATTCTTATCCCATGTCATTAGTGAGGAAACTCAGGCTCTGCATGTATCACTAACTTGTGCAAAGCTACATAGTAGTTCATGGCAAAGCAAAATTAAAATCAATTCATAGCCCATGTTCTTGACCATTATGCGGTACTGCCTTCTGTGATCATAATAGTGATCTGTCACTCTTCTACACATTACAGCTTAACTCATTACAGGGTAGATTGGCTGCCTACATATAGGCCTTAGTTTTACATATACCCTTGAGGAAGTCATGGTCAGTGTTTATTCGAGGAAGTGGAATTTAACAGTCATATTAAGGATGAAAGGAAGACATAAAATAAATCAAAGATTTTGTATATTATTATACTGTGACTGTCATTAAGAAGTATGTTTTATAATAGATAATACCTTTTTTGCATAGCAAATGACCACTCAATCACTGTTAACTCCTGTTTCCACAGCATCTATCCCAGTATATGCTATCACTAATGTCCTTCCAAAGTCCTTCCTTTCAGATAGAATATAGCCCCGTTCAAGTTCTGATTTCATTTTACTGGCCCTGTGACACTCTCCCTCACATCACATTCTAACCTAAAATATTCCTCCCCATTCATCATAGGACATGATTTTTGTAAAATCTATTTTATTCCTTCAAAAAATATTTATTGTGTGTCTCATTTGCCTCTTGCCCCTGCCCCTTACCTTTTTTTAGGCATCAAGTGGAGGAAAGAAACATATCTAAGTTTGAAGAAACCCACATGTCTGCAGATAATTTCATTTCTATAAAATTTCTATAAAATTCTATAGAATTTTAATTCTATAGGCATTCTTATTGGAGATGTGTATCTATCTGATTCATAGAGAAAACCAATCTTCCAGCAAAACAGGCTGATTCAAAAGCTCTGTCAAGCATCAACATTATACTTTTAGCTAAGGTCTTTTTCTTCTGTATTCTCATCTGTGACCTACTGTGAATGAATCATGATTTGAGAATTAACTGGTAATAAATCAGATACTTTTTTTTTTGTTTCTTTTGTTCTTCTTTATTGTGAAAAAGCCATCTTTATTGCAGTTGTTGTTTTTGTTTTGTTTTCCACATTTAAAAGCAAAATGGTAGAAATGGACATCCAATCAATTAAGTTACTTTGTAGAATAAGAACACTTATTGAACATACACTGCCGCTATGCATATTTGGCATATATCATTTAAAACTGGATTAATAGCAGGTGGAAGTTGAACCAATGTTTAAAAAAAGTTTAAAGAGTGTTCCTTGCCAAATGTTTCAGATGATTTTACAAAGTGGTATGTAGGGTATGAGGAATAAGGGAAGGAAAGAGAATACATAGGAATGGCAAAGAGAAAATGGATTAAAAGAAAATAAAGGCCTCAGTTATGAGTCACATAAATACTTTACTGAACGACTGAAAAACTGTTTGAAATCCTTATATTGGAACACTCAACACACAACCATATTTACAAGAAATTAACAAGAATTTGACAGATGTGAAATTTTAGCTATTTTTGAGTAAAAACAGGATTTGCTTTAACAAAATAATTAGTCTTAAGGAACGTTCCCAGTCTTCTGAGGTTATTGCTTTCTTTAGCACTATTAAAATATCTCAACCAAAAAAAGGAATAAAAGGAATACACCTGGCTATAAAGAGCCACTTAAAAGGTGGCAGGCACCTAGGGTTACAGTAATCCTATTAAATGTTAAACTTCAGTGCCTCAATAAAAACTTTGAAGTTAATATTTCATTAGGATAAAAAGTGAAAGAGCCAAGAGGAAAAAAAAAATGATACTTTCACTGCTTCTTTTATCTGGAAACATTTTCTCTGGTGCTGAATTCATAGTAAGTGAGTTAATCCAATATGTTTAAAATAATAAACAGAAATTCAGGTTCATTGAAGATCAGCTTTGATAAGAAACCACTGAAGTACAGGACACATATTATGAATATCAGAGAAATTCTTAATCGAATTATTATGCCCAGTGTTCTGTGTATCCTGAAATTAACAATAACCTAGTAGAAGAAATTCAGATATTTATGATCACACACACATGCATAGTTTGCCACTGTACTTACTTTTGGTCACGACACCCTCTAAGTGAATGATGTTAGGATGGTCAAACTGCCCCATGATACTTGCTTCCCCAAGGAAATCTCTGCGCTGTTTCTCAGTATAGCCTACTTTAAGGGTTTTAATCGCCACAGGTAATTCTCTCTTTCCTGGAAGTTTCAAACGTCCGCTACAAACTTCACCAAATTCACCTTGTGATAAAGATGTAGAAAACACATAAATTCATTAAACATCTTTACTCTAAAATAGTACTCTAAAGTTCTCTTAGAATAGTAAGGTTTAGACAAAACAAAATTAAATGGGAGTCCAAATTTCCTTGTCATTGCTGAAAGACATTAATTGTCCATAGGGAAAAAAACACCTATGGGTGATCATGAAACACATTGGGGGTTATTAGTTTCATCTGTCTTACATATAGAAACCTTAATGGAAACATTAGAAAGAAACCAAAAGCAACTGACTGAAAACCACTTCCTTCTTCCTTTGCTTTCTACACTAGCAGTGACACTAATGAGAAAATAAGAAAAGATCATAGCAGGACAAAAAGGAAACAATCTTAGTGAAGAGATGATTCATACACAAAATAATTGGATGCTTAAATTTTGTAAATCTTTCTGGGCATTACAAATTACATATGTATGAAATATAAAAAATAGTAGATAGTAAAACACCATGTTTGAATATTTATTTTTGCTGGTTTATTTTTTTCATAAGCTAGACATTTGCAGGTTTAAGTATGAGCTATGTAGAGGGTAGTAGTAAAATACAATCAATTATGTACCACTTTGAAAGCAAGACAATTACAGAAGATTAACAACATCTTGAGTTAGATCAGAACAGATATATTACACTCTATAATATAAACACAAGTTAAAAGTTTGAATTAAACACACTGTCTTACCTGCTCCAATAACTCTCTCAATGGTGATGCATGAAGCTTCTATCTCCTTGGCAAATTCATGGACAGCTTGATTGGGGTCCTCATAGGTATGTGGATCAATATAAGTTCTTACTCCTGGCAGTTTAACTGCAAAAATAAACGGGCATTAAAATAGAAGTGCTTTTGATAGATGAATGAAATTATAAACGTTATTAACGTGTAACTATGGCTTAAATCCCTAATTTCTAGAAGTGGCAGGGCTGCAAGGACAGACTCTTCTCCTGAGTTATAGGAGTCATTTGTACAACTATCTCACTTTTATAATTGTAGAAATCTGGATTGCTGGCATACCCATGAAGTACATATGTGAGGACATATTTGAATAAATACATCTTTTAGCAGTTATGTTCAGGGAGTCAGTCTCTGAGCAAACTAAGACACTTTTGCTTACCAAACTGAACAATGAAATGCTATTGGCTTAGTTGTCAGTTTGTTCTATTATGCTTTACTTAAAACCTCATCACAGATGATTTAGTTTTTATAAAAATAAATTAAAACAGATTTTCTGGTGCTTTGGTCCTATAAAACTGACATAGAAGTCAAAAGAAAAAAAGAAATTCACTCTATTTTTACTGCAGGGCATTATACAAGTCTCTTATATTTTATAAGCCTCAGTTTTATCACATTTTAAAGACTACCAATATCACCCTCAACAATATTTTTTGAGAACAAATAACATTATACAAGATAGTACTGAAAATGGACTCAAAAATTCTTTCATGACTTTGATATGGCGGAAAGACAAAAACAAACAAAAAAAAATCCCACTCTTTTTGTCATTTACTTGGCAAATCAATTCACACTGTACTCTATCTAAAAATGAACATATTAAAATAATAAAATTAGAACCCATTTAGGCTAATTTTTAAAGCTCATGAATAAAACTTGATTTTCTGCATTTCTTAAAAGTGTAGTCTTTTTCAAGTCATTTGAACCAAGGTTGCTGTTACAGGATCTGCTCAGGGAAATTCCTGCCAAAATGCTAGGAAAAAAAAGAAAAATATATTCATTTATTCTGGTGATTTTATCTAATGATATATTTCTATTGACTATTGCTAGGAATTAGAATTGGCCTGGAAATACAGTTTGATATATAACAACTTTTTATAAAGCAAAAAGTTTTTGTTTTCATTATTATAAGGAGAGTTTGCTTTAAAGAACTGAAAAAAAACATTAAGCTATTGCCCAGGGTCAGCCAGCAACACCGCAAGCCCAGGAATGTACCAAAAACACTTTTTAACACAATATTTTTGGTCAGTTTTTACAAATATTTGCCTGAAAAGAAGCCAAAGCAACAATAAAGTCTCCCCTACTTTCCTTTATTTTCATTTTTTTAAAATTTATTATTATTTTTTTTTTTTTTTACAGTTTGCTTACTGTGCCCATTATGAAAATGCATCTTTTCCTCTTCTGGGTCTTGTTTGGCTTTGCTGTAACCACACCGCCTGGAACAGAGTAAGTCATGATTAGCCACATCTCCCAATGGTGAATCACATCAAGCCCAGAAGCACACAACACAATTGAAATGACTGCAATCTTAAGTGATTTTCATACCAGCAGGATGGAACACCAATACTCTTGGATGAATCGTATTTCTGCAGACAGTATCCCTTATTCCTGCCCAGATTTCACTGAGAAGTCTGAAGCTCTCCAAATCTATTTTTAAATATCACTTTACCATACACCACACACCAGACACTTCTCTGTTCCCTTCCTCTTTTGCTTTTTTTAACCACTTCTGAGGCCCCTGCCTTTTTCAGATGAACTGCCCCAATATGTCTCTGATTCAATAGCTCCTCCCTTCAGCACCTTACATTATCATTTTTTAATTTCTTTTCCTCTTGCTTTAGAGTCTTTAGTTTCTCTGCTGGCTCTTTTTCCCTCACACCCACTCGGAGATCACTGTCAAGTCCCCAAGGTCTGCTACCCCTCTCAGCTCCACTCCCCAAATTTTAGTCTTGCCTGTTTTTCTCTACTTACTAATTTGTAAGTCCTTTAAAATCTGTTCTTATTACTCACAAAAAGCTTCCCCTCTAATGTTCACTGATAACATATTCATTTGTAAATCCAATCACTTTTCCTTAATTTTTTAATCCATGATTAATTGATATCCCTAACTAATCCTTTTCTGATGTTTCTTACTGCTCTTTTCATTTATATGGACAATTCCCCATGTCCTCTGCCCAGACTTCTCTGGTTCTCTCCTGTTGATCTAGCCATTTTCATCAACTTAATATCTTTATCCCTCTGATTTTATACTTTCGAGAGTTATATTTTTATTCTCTGTAGATTTACTTTATAGGAATATTCCCCAGGCATTCACACTCAACAGATTGGGGCGGGAAAAAAAAAAAAAAACTACCTTTCTCTCTACTTTCAATCTTGATCTGCTACCTTCTTTTCCTCTTAATAACACTTCCAAGGCCTTGGTACCTGATCAAAGTCCTATGCTTGTGTACCTCACAATAAATTTGTTGTCAAATCCCAAGCATTATATAACATAAAATCTTACGGTCCATCTCTTCCATCTCATTAGCTCTACCCCTTCTTCAATTAAAGCCTGTTCTTTTTCATTTGAATTACTATCAGTGCCTCTGAACTGATGCCCTTGCATTCTATAACTGCTTTCTTGAACTATAGTAGACATGGCTGCAGCCACATTACCATAAATAAGGTACTCTTCTATTATGTTACCTCGCTCCTGAAAACATTTCAATAAAAAAGTAAAGATTCCTAAGTGTAGCCCCAATGCACACTTCCTACATCATCTCCAGGATACTTCTCCATGCTTCCATATGTTCCTGTATACTGGTTCCTACACTTAGGAGGCTCTTCTTAACAATCTCCAATTAATCTAAGTCCAGTTCAATTGTTGCCTTCTTTATGTATCCTCCGCCACCATTACCCCTGCTTATTTTAATCTTCCTCACTATGAACCCAGTAGTTTTCAGTATTCCTCTCATGGAGAGATTTCCAGTCGACAATACAATGTGGTCATTTGAGAATATTTTTTGGCTCTCTTGTTTTATTGTTAATTTCTTAAATGGCATCAACTACTGTTCATCTATAAATTTCTGGTCACTTGGCACCTAGATCAGACTTGGCACCAAAAATATTTGTCACATTGATGAAATGAATAAATGAATGAGTAGATGATATTCTGATTGAGTCTACATAATGACAAGTGTTTGAGAGAGAATAGGCTGATGAATACTGAAGTACATGAACAACAATATAACATTAAAACAATTAACCAAAATAAAAATATTTTAACTACTTTTAGTGAAACTCCTAAGGAGGTGAATTTATTATTCACAAACTCTTAGAAAAAATTGCATTTATCAAGAACAAAATTTCATTTACTTTTGTGTAAAGAAAATATAGCTGAAATGTCAGATTGACAAAATATTTTTATTAAAAAGGTGACTGAAAACTACTATTGGATGTAAGGGAAGGGGCCAGCTGACATGCACTGAGGGACTGTTCTTGGTTTCATATTCTAAAATGTTTCTTAAATATGTGTATATTTTGATATAAAAATAAAACCTATTGTATTCTCTATCTTTCCTAGTGTATAATTACACATACAAAATAGATTACAAAACCTGTTTTTGTGCCATTTTTGATAAAAATAAATATAGTTATCTTAATTTTATCATGTTAAAGAGCTGGCTAGCAAAATTTGAATAAACTTGAAATAATGTGTTTAATACATATAGTGTACTTAGGTGAGGAGCATCACACCATGGGGATCTGGTGGCCTTTCAAACTGTATTCAAAACATGTAGATGCAAGACATCTTGAATCACTTCACCACAGTGAAATGGAGAGAAAAAACAAATAAACGATATCATCCTGAAGTAATAGTTTATCTATTCAAGCTGATATTTGTTATTTTAATATTGTTCATAATTTTAGGTATTACATTCTTCTTTTTTTTTTTTTTACATTCTTCTTTCAATCGATGTATGTACCTTTACAGAGAAGGTATTGATACTGTTTTTTATTTTCAACAATATTCTACATACAATTGTGAGAAATCATCCTGAGATTTACGTTATGTAAAGAACACTGACAGAAAACTTCATTAGAGGAATTCTAAAGAGACTTAAAAAGTATACAAGTTCTTGCAGTTTACATTAGAAAACAAACATCCACTCCACCTTCAACTCTCCTACGTTCAGAAAAAAATTAAGCTTTGAAACTTGTATCCTCAAATAGCCTTTATCATTAAATAAGCCTCATGGATATTTAAATTGCATGCAAATTCCTTATATGAAAATGGAAATAAAACTTTGGATCTAATCTAAAAAATGATTTGGGAATACCTTGTTGAGGAGCAGTTAACATTTTAATACCTAGGGTGAGAGTCAGGAGGGCAATAGGAAGGAGTTATTTCTGACTATGGGTTTCTCTGGAGTTCTATAACATATACGGCTGCATGTCACATTAACATATAAAATTAAGTTCTGGAAACCCCCAAAGCACCATTAAAACAAACCTCAACAAGATACAGCCAAGTAAAAGTGCAGCTGGCAGAGACTGCACTCAAGTAGTGGTTCAGCCTCACTAACAAAGCCGTGCAGGAAGCCTCTTCATTCAGTACCATGTTCTGTACCTTGTCCAGATACATCATTTTAACCCATCAGACACAGTCAATAAGTATGCCCTTCCATATATAAATTAAACTGCTATCTTCTGGAACTTTTTTTTTTTATTAAAAAGGTGACTGAAAACTACTATTGGATGTAAGGGAAGGGGCCAGCTGACATGCACTGAGGGACTGTTCTTGGTTTCATATTCTAAAATGTTTCTTAAATATGTGTATATTTTGATATAAAAATAAAACCTATTGTATTCTCTATCTTTCCTAGTGTATAATTACACATACAAAATAGATTACAAAACCTGTTTTTGTGCCATTTTTGATAAAAATAAATATAGTTATCTTAATTTTATCATGTTAAAGAGCTGGCTAGCAAAATTTGAATAAACTTGAAATAATGTGTTTAATACATATAGTGTACTTAGGTGAGGAGCATCACACCATGGGGATCTGGTGGCCTTTCAAACTGTATTCAAAACATGTAGATGCAAGACATCTTGAATCACTTCACCACAGTGAAATGGAGAGAAAAAACAAATAAACGATATCATCCTGAAGTAATAGTATACCTGTTCAAGCTGATATTTGTTATTTTAATATTGTTCATAATTTTAGGTATTACATTCTTCTTTTTTTTTTTTTTACATTCTTCTTTCAATCGATGTATGTACCTTTACAGAGAAGGTATTGATACTGTTTTTTATTTTCAACAATATTCTACATACAATTGTGAGAAATCATCCTGAGATTTACGTTATGTAAAGAACACTGACAGAAAACTTCATTAGAGGAATTCTAAAGAGACTTAAAAAGTATACAAGTTCTTGCAGTTTACATTAGAAAACAAACATCCACTCCACCTTCAACTCTCCTACGTTCAGAAAAAAATTAAGCTTTGAAACTTGTATCCTCAAATAGCCTTTATCATTAAATAAGCCTCATGGATATTTAAATTGCATGCAAATTCCTTATATGAAAATGGAAATAAAACTTTGGATCTAATCTAAAAAATGATTTGGGAATACCTTGTTGAGGAGCAGTTAACATTTTAATACCTAGGGTGAGAGTCAGGAGGGCAATAGGAAGGAGTTATTTCTGACTATGGGTTTCTCTGGAGTTCTATAACATATACGGCTGCATGTCACATTAACATATAAAATTAAGTTCTGGAAACCCCCAAAGCACCATTAAAACAAACCTCAACAAGATACAGCCAAGTAAAAGTGCAGCTGGCAGAGACTGCACTCAAGTAGTGGTTCAGCCTCACTAACAAAGCCGTGCAGGAAGCCTCTTCATTCAGTACCATGTTCTGTACCTTGTCCAGATACATCATTTTAACCCATCAGACACAGTCAATAAGTATGCCCTTCCATATATAAATTAAACTGCTATCTTCTGGAACTTTTTTTTTTCCTGAACAGAAAAGAAACAGTTTCTTCATTTTGCTTCAATCACAATTTTAATGGATCTTGATATCATTGTGCTAAAAATATCTTAATGTAATTAGAGGAATCATCCTCTACCCTTTAATGCATATCTTCTTCTAGAAAATGATATTATTTTATTTTGGCACTAGAGGGGCATGAGAAATCACATTAAATGTAGGCATAGTTTATACTCATTAATAAAACTTATTAAAAGGCATTGAGTCATGTTTCTTATATAATATATAAGTGATTTCATAGTTAATTTGGAGATAAATATATTTTTCCCCATATCTATCCTAAAGATTTAATAATACAACCTTGATGATATTAATGTTGCTCTTAAAAACAGTCCAAGTCATTAAATCTAAATTTGGGTATTTGAAACTTCCATAGACATGAAATAGTAAACAAT